TCTAAAAACGCTGCAATATCAGGAGGAATGCTTGAGCGATATGGAAGACGGCTTGAATTTCTTCGTCGGTAGACTCCAAAAGCAACAGAACACAGCATATAATAAGCGAAAAATAAGACGCCGGGAGACGGAGGGGAACCTCAGGAGGAAAGTCCAAAAGAACAGTCAACTGAAACCTATGGTTATTGGGATGCCCACCAGAAAACACTGCACTTCATAGACGGCTACAAACTAATTTGGAGATATCAATGTATCGAACCCGGGGCCTTTGGGATGTCAGTAAAAAGTGCATAAAAGCCACTGAATCATGGCTTTTCATAACGAGTAACGACTAATTGGACGACCCATTTTGAAACACTCCGTGTGGGGATGGATTGTGATGTGCGATCTTAATGTGGACCTCAAATCGCCTCGCCTTCTCCACACCATCACTGGGATCGTAACTGATGTAGCGAATGGATAGTGAATGTTGGTTGGCTGACCGGTCAACATTGAGATTGCTCGTCGCAATCCATTCAGCACACAATGAGTGCGTCAAAATGACTCACCAACCAGACATTGACTTCTTTAACAAGCATTGGCCGCGGTGATTCGGTTGCCTAGGAGGAGGGGTTTTGACTAACATTCCATAGGCAATGGAGTTCGAGCACCTGCTAGCTCTTCCTGGTCGGAGCCCGTCGTGGAGCATTTTTAGGCAGGCAACTCACAGCTTCCATCTATGCTTCATCAGTTACGGTCCCAGTGATCGTGGAGCAAGGCGGAGCGCTGCCAACGATGTTGCCTTCTAAGCGTTCTGTCGGGTCTTCCTTTGTCGACTGGTATGTATTGGTATCACTGAGTAGGTGTGGTGCTTTCACCATGTAATCTGATTTGTCCATTATAACAGTAAGGCGTGCTTTGTCGGCCGGCAATATAACTATGCTCTTGTCTTTCTTGAGGTTCCCCAGAGCTTTCCGTTTAGTGGCGTTGAATATGATGGTTTCAGCTTTATCACTGTGTGTTCGATGGCATCCAATTCACCAGGGAGGAGAAGAACAACGAGCAGTTACCATTCTTAGACGTTCCCATAAGACGGATTGGAGCTGAACGATTGGAAACAACAGTCTACCGAAAAGCAACGTATACCGAACAGATCCTCAATTACGACAGCAATCATCCGGCAGTCTACAAACGCAGCTGCGTGCGAACCCTTTTCAAACGAGCAAACCGCAGCTGAGACGGGCAGAGGAAGACCATCTCTTCAATCTGCTCAAGCAAAATTCGTACCCAAAAGGCTTCATCCTACGTTGCGTCGCACCACAAAAGGCTGCTCAACACACCTCGACAAATGCAACAGTTGAAAAGAGAACAACTGTCCTAAATAAACGGAATCTCTGAAATGGCAGCGAGGCTTTAAATTGCCTTTTGGAGTCAAAGTTGCACACCAACCAACGGAAACTATTCGCAGTAAACTCTTCAAAGTAAAATAGAAACATAGCAAGTAGAAAGAAACTGGTGTGATTTATAAGATCTGCTGCCGGAACTGCGACGAAAACACAAGGCTACACGAACACAGCCTAGCCATTCGTCGCCACGATGACGTCAGTGCATATAGATGCCGAGAACCATCAATACGACCTAGAGCATGCCAGCATCCTCGGAAGGGCTAAAAGCGGGCAAGCACTGAGTTCATTGAAGCATGGCATTCACAGCAGAACTCGATCAATAACCGCTTGGATATAGAAGTCGCTTAGGAGGCACTGCGAATCAGACCCCTGAAGCCGCACTGATGATGTTGACTAGTCAGGCAACGAAACATCTGCACAATAATCACTCAGCTCGGAGAACAACACAAAATCATCAGTGTTGATTCTCCCTCGTCTTAAAAGTGGCCAAATAGAAGGTTACTGATTAGCAACGTATCTATCACGCTCTCGTCAGCGCTAGATTACTCGAAAAATTAATTACAAGTGGAATCATCGACGCCATCCATTGTTATGGGCTGCTTAACACATCCCAGCATGGGTTCCTCCATAAACATTGCTGTACAACTTGACAGTTGTACTGCCTGGATCACATCAAAGAAGCCAGTGACTCCAATTATGCAGTCATAATACTGTTTCTGGATATGCAAAAAGCATTCGATCGGGTGCCACACAAGCGACAAATGAAAAGAATCGAGCCATTTGGAATCAGAGACTCCCTATTTGGTTGGCTGACATCATACCCAAATGGGCGTTACCAGATAGTCACTCTGGGTAATCATAACTCCTCCCCATGTCCAATCACTAGTGGTGTCATCCAAAGGAGTGTATTTGGCCCTTCCCTTATCCCACTCTATATTAACGATACCACGATGTTCATAAAACATGACAGGACATTTTTGTTCCTGGATGACAATGATTGTTTATAAATTTCGACGAGACGAACTCCAAAGCGCAGTGTTGCTCGTTCAAGAAGACATCCATGCAGTTGAGAAATGGTGCGACCCATAGATAATGAGGATCTCAGCTAGTAAATCATGCGTCATGTCATACGGATGTTTGGTCCTGAAGAGTCAGTTAAACTGAACAATGAACGCATCTATGTGAAACGGTCGAACCGTGTTGCCTAGGTATACGATATTTTCCGAACTTTAATTTCTCAGAGAAAGCTGAGTATCAGATTACAGGCGCCAAAGGATCCATGGCTAACGAATGTCATGAAATCCATACATCGCCTGCCAGAATCGAGCTTTTCAAAATACTCACACTTCCTGTTCTTGAATACTGTACCATCATTTATGGGAACATGCGTTTGGGTGACAGTAAAGCTTTGGGAAATCTGCAAAGATCATCAACCAAACGTTCGTTAAGTAAATCATCCTCCTTGAGCTATGAGGAGCGCTGCCAGCAGCTTAAGTTCGATCCCCTTTGGTTGTGACGACGGAAACGTAACCTGATGCTGATACACAATCACATAAACTAAAAGACACTCCAATCTATGAACAATAAAGTTGCAAAATAATTTCACACGGGAACCACGTAAAAAGACTTGTAAACTAATTGTACCAGGACAACCATTCGATCCAACTTCTTCCTCGTCAGATACGCTACAGTGTGGAATAGCCTACCAGTCCCTAGCAAGTCTTGCACGAAAGTAAGAAGATTCCGCATCCAAATTAGAAATTTCCTAGCCCAAAACTCGATAATAACTGTGTTTGCATCGAGTAAATCACCGAACGAATCCTTCCAAGATGGACCAGGAAATAAATGACCAGAGGGGGAAAAGATGTTACACAAAACGCAACAACAACAAAAGTTATGTGCTTCAAAACATTTTGATGTCACACCACCCAGGATATATATCTCACGCATGAGCATGATCATCACTGTACTCATGAGCTATCTCCAATTTAGGGACAGCTTCTCGCACAACCGAGAAATATAACTACTATTATTATAACTCATAACATGGTACATGATCCCACACGTCTGACGATTTAGTCTGCCAATCCTTCCACAAATGCTCCACTATGTGCGACCCCAAGTGGTGTAAACCAGTTAGGCGTAGAAACCGTGGCAGAAGAGTGATCTCGCTGCACTCGAGACCCAACAGCCGTGAGGAATTAAAACTGTTGTGGATTGGTTGACATCGCTATTACCAACAATGGCGGGAAAGGCCGTCTACGGAGTGACCTCATATTGGTCTACCAGAGGTTGAAGAACCCCACTCACTGTGGTCGTCAACTTTGAAACATAAGCAGAACAATAACCCAAGAGGTCCTCAAATGCGGTGGGTTCCTAAGCGTAATCGGTTCGATAGTCGCCGGAATTTCGCTCTATGACAGTTGTCAGCCACGGGAGGTCCGTCCGAATTATACCCCTTCAGAATCCGCGTCGTTCCTACCTAATACCTCGGAACTTAGACTCAAATGGTGCCTCTCAACTACACGAGGGGGGCCCAAATGATAACGAACACATTTGGTTGGATACTGTTGTTGACCTGGCGAGGAGTCGACCTCAAGGATCTTCGTGTTGTTGCCCAAGAGCTTAGGCGTTTCTCACCTTTAGCCGACGTGTAAAGAGACCTGACGTTAAGACGTTTGCATTGCATGAATAACTCACATCCATCGAGGAGACAGCATACCGCACTGTGCTCACCAGCCTCCCTATGGAATCGAAATAGTTGGGTTTACATTTGTGCTCACGTGCGCACAGACAAGAGGTCCATTTTGCCCGAGACATCTACTTTTGAATATGTGGCTTTCACCCAAGCTACTCTAAGAAACATGATAAGTCTTCGTTTCGTTTCACCCGCAATAAATCACTGCGTTATTGTTTATCATATATGCGTAGGCGCATAAGCTTTGACGGATGCACAGAATTTTATAAACAATAAGTGAAAGTGTGTTTGCGTCGATTCGATATCCGATGTCGACTAGATGAACAGTGATCGTACCATGAATAGTCTCAACGAGATCTTAACGTGACTACAGTGAACAATGCTCGTTGAAGTGAATGGATAGATGCCCTGGCGTTCGACGGACGTCAGAACTTCCGCATATGCATTTAAAGCAATGAAAAGTACCAGTCTGTGCAAGTTGTGCGTATTCGGTACGTTCGCCGCCAAAGCGATTGCACACGAACGCTGCAGTACTGATACTTGGGAGATCGACCTAGACAAAGTGAAGAAATGTGTAATCAACCGCCTGATAGCTACGACTCAGTCTGAATGTAATGTAGAAATACTCCTTTCGGAAAGAATCGATTTTTGGGACAATCCGAAGTAAAACATCATACTAAGCAATTCTTATGTTTTATATGAACTAATGTACTGGAGACTGATATAATCATGGAATAATTTGACTATTGCAAGTGGTTGTGCAAAGTGATGTCACATAAAGCGATGTCAAGTGAGGATTTTCGTTTGTAAATTGTGTGGAAAATACTGATTCTGTCGACAAAATGAAGGCTGTCAAGCTCTGTCACACTTATTCAAAGGATAAAACAGAGGTTTAAAAATTAACGAAACATGCTTACCCGCTTTCCGTAAAGAACAAAGGTTTAAAGCGACGTCTGGTGTACGGTGGCGCATCTGCGTCGGCCAATTTCGTACTAAGCTGTAATGCACACGCTATCGATGGCATGACCAAATGCAACATGCGATCACGTAAGACGGCTTCCCGGTGAGCTGGGTGACTCTCGCGCAACAGTTTGAAGACATCGTCGTACACTTCCCTCGAGTTGGACCGGAAGTGAGTCAAGCTGCCTAGGAGAACTGTGGGTGTCTTGTTGTTGAGAAAGAGAGCGACACCAAGACCCGGAGCGCTTGGTACAAGCAAAACACCTGGCCAATGGAAAATATCAAGTAGATTAAAGAAGGGGAGCTAAATTCAAGGCATTGGATAATGTCAAAGCTGATTCTTCGTTTGTGTTGGTTTAAAAATTGAAATGCATACTGCTTACAAGAAGAGACAAGGTTTAAACATTTTGGTTTTTTCCGTCTAGATAAAAGGAGATATATCACAGGATATTTCAGTCGGCTGATAACTTAAGATGGGTAATGGAAGCAAGAAGATGAAGTTAGAGGTAAGCGGCGGTGTTTGGAAAGCTGTACCGCTTGACATACACAAAATGAACTGAAATGTGCAAGGTGATGTTAATAAAAAGAACAAGCATTTGTTTATCAATGGCTTAAAACTCATACACAAGAAAGATTGCAAACTGGGACCTGAGTGGGGACATGCGATGGGTCCAAGTGCACCGCGTATTGCACTAACAAAAGTTGCTTATGTACGTAAGCTAATAGGTAAGTGAATGAATGGCGGAAGTTTTCGAATCACGAAATACACAGCAACCCTTGTAGTGTCAAAGTAAAGCCAACTCCGCGATAGATACGACGAACTATCAACCACAGCGGTCGACTGCTAAACGAAACAAGTGCTGGACACTGTATCCGTATCGTTTAGTCGCTTTGTCTACCAAGCGAATGATCCAGCCGCTTAAAACTGCCCCGATCGCGCTGGACGCACCAAACGCGTCGAGTTTGAAAATACAGCCAACTCAGCGCACAGGTAACCATAAGTACCCGGTGATTGAGCGGAAAGGCATCGAACAACGCAATAGTTTGTAATGACCAATCAAAATATGCCAACTTTACCACTCCCAGATTGACAGTCGTATGTACCTTCTCTTTTTGTCAAGAAAATGCACGAACAGAAATCTGGTGTTCCAATTAGCTTGGCAAGTTTCATTTTAAGTGTTCCAAGCTCACAGTGAACTAGTTGAAGATAAGCAATAGTAGATCGGATTCTCTGTGGTTCTGTGCAGGATGTACGGACATACAACTGGTAACGGTTGTGCATAAGCTATCGCAGAAAGTCGGGAGATTGGTGGCAATGACTGAACAAATTTAAAACAAAATATCGATTCATTTGAAAAAAGTATGGCACAGAGCAAGCCCTAGTCCTTCCTACAAGGCTCCGCTTCAAAACTGAGAAGCACTTTAAAATGTGCCACTTGGGGCTTTAAATGTTAATGCCATCAATGTCCCAAATACGCCTGAAACAATCACCGCCAGTCCGATGGGAATAAGTACGACCAGGGTATCGTCCACCCTTCAAACTGTTCCGAAATCTAGGAAGGACGGCGCCACTAGTGGTGGTTGGAACATGGTTCCTGTCAAAGGCAACCAGAAACTTAAGTCTTCAGTTACCCCCACTGGACCCAAAGTAAATGAGGAAGGCAAAGTTGTACTTACATGGCCCCACCAGTTGTATGCAGACCAGCTGGGCAGGTGACCTCAACCCGTGCTGCATTTAGTGTACCTTGGGTAATCTGCACCCATGTTCCAGAATCGACGTCAAATTCCGCAAAAGATATACAACTCGATGATGTGAATACTGAATACTGTATTCTAGAGCAAGTAGAAATGAATTCTGTACAACTCATTCGAAATATGGTGAAAAACGTTATAAAAATTTTCAGTCTTGAATATCGGTATCGTTCTCATGTGATATTTAAAATATCTGACTCACAGTATTGCAGGACTCACAAATATGACATGCCATCGTAAGTGTACCATAGTTCTCTGAATCGAATAGTGGTAAAAGATAAATCTAACAATGCTTTGAACTGGTTCACAGATGTTAGCTCTATCATATGTTGAGGCAAATTGTTCCAAATATTTATCACTCTCTGTTCGAAGAACAGTGGGTGGGGAACTCGCTTCACATCCGGCACGACAAGTTTGTATCTGTGTCCGCGTGTGCTGCATGGTCCTCGTAAGTGCAGCATTGGCGTCAGCATGGGGAAGTCACCGAGATGTAGAATGTGGTAGGTCATAATGAGGTCGACTAGCACTCGACGGTAGGACATGGTGTAGAGTCCTAGTTTCTCGCACCGGTCTTCACACCCCAAGACAGTGGAATTTTATGTGCGAAACCATAGGTAGTATTAATACCGCCAACTTGAAGCACATCACCCAAAATCAGAGCACTACGGTGAACCGAGACTTCACCGAGTTGTGCTGACTTCCGCGGATGAAGCAGAAGCTGTCCTGTTATCAACAGCTCGCCTTCGGAATGGATTATGTTCCATCCGCATCATCCCGGATATTATTTGGAGCGAGCGCAAACAGGCAAGGTACGGAAGGAATTCGTAGCCAGGACCATCTATGAACACGCCATTCCCGAGGCTGGAGGTCACAATGAGCGCAAAGCGACCACTCACGACTAGGAACAGTGGCGATACATTCGAGAGAAACTGCCCCCGGAAAACGTCATAGTGCAATCGATCTCGAGGCTACGTAGATCGCCAAATTACAAAGGATGTGGCCCGAGAATTGGGAAAATGGTGCTTCAATGCAAACAAATGTCAAGAAGGATATTGGTGTGTTGGTATGCGGGCCGCAGCAGCCTTTCTACAGAGCACCGGATCAAAGCATCATCCCCTATGGAAACACCTGAGAGCAGTCAGTTAGTTGGACTAGTTCCCGACAACAGTCCGGATAACTTCAAGCAGCTAGCCAACGAAACTGGCAAGCACACCCCATACATTATATACAAAGAGAGAAGTAGAGATGATGGCTGGGTCCTGATACAGATAGTTTCGTCATCGCCCAACCAAAAAAAGATCAGTAGCCGACTTTCACCAGTGGGCACAACATTATACCCAAAACACACATCCTCTATTCACTGCTAAGTACAGAGAAACTTACCTGCATGCACACCAATACATGAGGTCTCTTGAACAAGCTTGCCGAACTGCGACTACGTCAAGCATCATATGCCTGGGACCGCATACTCGTAACTGAAACTTGTTTATTCTCAGAAACTACCGACACCGAAGTAGCGATGTATGGTATGTCCCTTCCTCGAAACGATCGACCCAGCAAAGGCGGTGGAGTAACTTAATACTACCGTAGCAATCTGCAGTGTGAACCAGTGGACGATCCAGAAAAGCTGATCATAGACTAACTCTGGTGTAGTCTGCAACTGAGACGCAACGACACTTGCCTTTTAACAGTTGTTTATCATCCCCCAATGTCCACCCCAAAGATGGACTCAAGCCTGACATTAGCCGTTGTGAGGATCGTATGATGACGATACAGCCATGTTATTATCTCAGTCGACTTCGATGTTCATGATCTAGAAGTTCCGGCATCCCCAACGAGCATTTCAAGGCCGACCTGCAAGAGCTAATGGCACGCATCCCGCTCCTCAGACATGTCAGTTCACCTACCCGACTCAGGGCTGGAAATACACCATCTGTGTTTGATTTACTGCTCACGAACGTAGAGCTCATAATTGAGAAACAAGAGATGGAGAGAAGTTTAGGGCGGAGTGACCATGTAACAATACCCTACGACTTTGTGTGGTATGCGGAATATCCACAAGGACATAGTGGCTCGTTTCGAAGAAGCACACAGTACGACGTACTAACAGAACTTGTTGGAGATGCCATCTGAGAGTTGGAAAGTTCAGTGGTCTCACTACATCCTCCTCGTTCTGTAGGAGCACATTCATTTATTCAAGGTAGAACCCAAAAACGCGTGGCAATAAGAGACGCAGCGTTGCATGTGTACAGAGTGAACCCTAGCCATGACAATTGGAGCAACTATTTAGTGTATCCTAATCACTGTATCCCACTTGTCTGTGAAGACAAACTAGTACACCGGCAGAATCTAGCGGAAAGATTTTGCGCTAACAAGCTCCCGTACAAGCTTCCCGAGTCCGAAGCTTGGTATTCCCCATACATCTCAACAATCGGATGTGCTTAAACTGCTGATGATGCAGCCAACGTACTACAGCTACAATATGCTCAAACATTCCGACAAGTCACCAGCATGTGTCACATACTTGTCCCAGTACCCCAGATACCAGTATTTACACACGTCACTGTTAGTTCAGCCACCAATTTGAAGAAGCTGCTATCGTTGCGCATGGATAGTTCCCCCGGAGTTAACAACATTCCCTCGAAAGCACTGCAGTTGGCAGCCACGATGATAGCTGAACTATTAACCTACTTTTTCCAAAGATATCTGAATGAACAGCAGGTCTCCAACATGTAGAAGCAGGGTATAATTACTCCGATTTTCAAGGGTGTTAGCCGTTCAGAGCCTGCCAACTATCACTCAGTGATTCTCCTCCCAGTGCTCTCAAAGTTGATGTAGTCTATCATAGCCGACGTACTCATGGATTATCTAGAAAAATATGACATCATAGCACAGGAATAACACGGACTGCATCAGCATCGGCTATGTACTACCAACCTACTAACTGCGTTTAGTAGTTGGACCGAAATGGCCGGCAGTGGGACCGACAATGATGTCATCTATCTCGACATCTCCAAAGATTTCGACCGATTAGAGCACGGGATCTTTCCAAAAAATTTGCAAGCGTACGGAACTGGGAACCCTACCCTTGGATAGAGCGAAAATTTCCGTCTTCAGCAGCGACTTCAGGTTCGAGTACGTGGCTCAATTTCTGATCCTACTGATGTGGACTGCGGTGTTCCAAGAGGGGCAGTGTTGCGGCCGCGCCGATTCTTCATTAACAACGTCGCGCGTGTCATCGAGTCAAATGTCCTGTTATTTACAGATGACACCAAGAGATAGCGGCCGATCGATTGTCAGTAAGATCACGAGATGCTGCAGCGGGACTCAAACTGTGCTTAGAAGTGGTCGAAAGCAAATCTACTGCCGTTTAACGCTGAGGAGTGCAAAGTGAACAAGCCCACTTACGCATATAAGCTTAGAGACCAGGTGTTGAAAACCGTCTCACAGGAGCGCGACCTTGGGGTGGTGATGCATGACGACCGTGGCTGTTCGAAACAATCCTTGAAGACGTTCAATAATTCAAACAAACATATTGGTCTCTTAACGAGGGCGTTCGGCAGGTTCAATCACTCCAGCGAGATATTCCTGCCCTCTACACGCCAACTGGACACGCACAGACTACAACAGAAGCGGTCACCGCCTTACGTCATCAATTGCCCCCAAACTTCGAGAACACGGATTCGTCGCCTATGCTGTTCACACAAGTTATACTGCCAGCAGAACTTTTACGGTTATAGATATTCTGAAAAGGCTAAATTCCCTCCGCTAGCATACCTCTCCAGGTGCTGATAATATTCGACCAAAGGCGCTGAAGTTAGCTACATTGAATATGGCGGATCCAATCTCTAGCTTCTTCCAACGATAGCTCGACGAGGTGTGTGTTCCCACGATGGAGAAGAACGGAACCGTGACTCCCATTCACAAAGAGGGAAATCGAACAGATCCAGTCAATGAAAAGTCTCCTGCCAGTGCTAGTCAAAGTCATGGAGTCTACTAATGCCGACGCGCTCATGAATTACTCGGAGGCATGCAAAACCATAGCAATAGAACAGCATGGATATCGTCAGAACCGGTCTTACAGCACAAACCCGTGGCTCGCTCGTTTGCTCCAGGTGGACTGAAATTGTTGATAGCAATGTGTGGGGATTGACGCAGTCTAACTGGACTTCTTAAAGGTGTCCGACTGTCCGAACGATCGCATCCTCATTCGCAAGCTTCAGAGCTGTGGAAGTGGTAACCCAATTCTCGGGTGGATAGGTAACTTTCTGATTCAACGATTTCTGAATGTGTGAATTCGCAGCGCTAGCTCTGACCCTATCGATGTTCAGTGCGGAGTGATACAGGCCTCAGTAGTTGGTCCACACCTATTTCTGATTTACATAAACGACCTTGCAAGAGTGATGACTTTCAATTTCATAGGCTGCGCTGATGGTTTCAAGACATGACGGGCCACCAAAACAACGCCTGACCACGTAACGCTTCAGGATGGCTTTGACAGGGTATAAGAATAGGCGATTCAGAAACTGCTTCATTTCAACGTCACCAAGTGTAAGACATTGAGCGTATGCTATCAGTGCACTTGCGACTACAGGCTGGGGAATTAAGCTTTGCATTGTGCTACTACTGAATGCAATCTAGGTGTGACAGTACAGGAGGATCTCGGCTGTTCACGTCAGGCAGAGGCGTCCGAAAAAGTTAACCAAGATTTTGGCCTTTCGCAGAGTGTTCAGATGCTTTGACCTTTCAGTCTTCTCTCAGATGCTCAATGCCTAAATTAAGCCCCATTCAGAATACTCCATACACATCTGGCAGCTCTGGCACACAGGCACGATCTAACCGCACTTGAACTGCCACAACGAGGAGCGAGCAAGAACGTAAAGGATATGTTTCATCTCCATTATCAACTGAGGTTAGGTCTACAGAGGACAATATCGACACCTGCGTGGTGATTTGATGATGACGTATGTTATCCGAAGGAATCCAAATGACGCTTGTAGTCAACTTCTGAAGCTGAATCACAATACTACTCTGAGAGATCGCCAGCTAAAGTTGACCACACAGTATAGCCGGTTGGATTGTCGCCGGAATTTCTTTTCACTTCGCGTGTACCAACCATGGAACGCCCCCCTCCACACTAACGGTATTCAAAAAAGGTCTCGACGATACAATCCTATATTAATATTAGGCCATATAATCCACTATATCCGCGCGTCAACCTAGCACTACAAGCCAACGTGCACATTTTCACTTACTGCACATAATTTGTTAAACGCTACTACTGGATGTACGTAGCCCGTTGGCCCAAGGAAGCTGCACATGAACTACAACCACTCCCCATATTGCTTTGTATGCGCACATTCAATTCTCATTTCAAACTACCGTTATACAGCAGTGCAGTTAAATATGTAGTCACTTATCCTTTGATCTCATTTTTCTGACTCTAACCACCCTAGGGAACTAGTCAAGCACGTTGTTTTACCAGTGATAAATCATTGTTCATCTTCTCCAACATACTCAATGCATATGCGAAACCGCACGTAAAGTACGCGATCCGAGCCTGGCAACCTCGACCAAAACACGATCTGGTTGCAGTGAAGAACCCAGAGCGAAGGGCAACAAAAGATGTAAAGAGATTGCTCCACCTGCCATACCAACTGAGACCGAAAGCCTTGTGAGTGTATAGCGGGTTATCATTGTTTATGGCGCGATCTATTCTGGCGTAGCAGATCTAGGAAAACCCGCCCC